TCTCCACTAACTTAGGGGAACCAACTGCAAACCTTATGCAGTTGAATTGCATGAGGATCATGCATCAAATTGCTGAAAATCATGTGCAAATATCGTGCATGTGAACAGCTGCGTTTTTGTTTTGGTGTAAAGTTTTGTTAGGAATTTGCCAATTTTCACTGAGTTTCATCATTTATTGAACTCATGACAATAATTTTTTCAACATTACGAATTTATTTTACAATACATCAGTTCATGTGCAAACAGTACCTCTAAACAGTATGGAATATTTTACAAAATTCAAGTTTAGAACAGTTTACTGAAGTGAGTGGCTATATTTACACTAGTGAGTTTTTAATGGGTAACTTTTAATGGGTAGTATATGTATTTCCACTTTTTGGTTACATTTCCCAAAAATATATGGCTGTTTAAGAAATGGCTGTTTGCATGTATTGGTGTTGTTTAATAAGATACGCCTCGCACTTAATGTATGTGGATGTGAAAATGACAGTAGATACAAAATGTTTATATTACACATTGAAAGAATGCATTAATATTACACTAACAACTAGTCTCTGAAATGAACATATTTTTCAGAAAAACAGTTAATATTAAAACAATCAAAGTATAATGAAAAGGAGCCCTGTGACTTTCTTCATTTTGAAGCTGTGGAAATCTAGACTTGCCACGTTTTCTAGACTTGCGTGGACTTTCTTGGATATATTTGTTTCAGGGTCTGTATGACAGACTACATTAATATGTGCGTATGATTTTTTTTACAATTTATCAACAGAACGCTCCTTAAGTCGATTCAATGATGTCGCTCGGCTGGTGAAATGGAGTGGCTGTTGTCACTTCCATCGTCAATAGTTGTATTCCCATGATTATGGGCGGTCACCCGTCCTCTGACCCTTGAACACTGACACGGGTGAATGCCTATGTTTGTAATGGCCTGAGAAATTCGACTGTTTGCAAAAGCTATTTTCCACACAACAAATGTTATTCGGGGGTGGATCTAAGGCGACCCACTCTCTTTATCGCATTGAAATTCAAACCCGAAATAGAATATGTATACAACGCCTTGTTCAGCTTTTGTTGAAGGATTTTTAGTGTAAATTCTAATAGAATAAGTTAGTCAGAGGGTTAGACAGTGGCTGTCATTCAGAGGCTGGAGATGTTGACGTTTCTCATTAACACTGTGTAAATAGAGGCGAAACATTATGTTGCTTTTAACATTACGAACCGCAATCTATATATCATTTATAGTGCTGTGTAATCACGGGCTATTCTTTCCATGTGAATTATTTGTCACGGCGCAAAGACCTTATGTGATGCGTGTATCATGTCACCGTATGATCTCGCGATGATCTCGTTGGGGAGATGACGGGGTGTGTGGGGTGGGGTGTGTGTGTGTGTGTGTGTGTGTGTGTGTGTGTGTGTTTTACTGCTATTCGCTTTGCTGAGTTACGTCCCTTGCTTCCAACAGAATCGTATGCCTTTGGGTTCGAATCCCATTTCTCCCCGATTACGTTTCCATGTTTATCAGCACCATATCCGTGCTTATTGGCACCCGTGAAGATGGGGTAAGATCACTGGATTGTCTGGTCCAGACTCGATTGTTTACAGACTGCCGCCTATAGCTAGTCTACTGATGAGTGCGGCGTTAATCATCAGCGTCCCTGTCCGTGTCACCAGTTTTGATTGTTTATAATAGTATTACTATCATGATACTGTAGCTAAACTTTAGCCCGTACATGTACATACGCCTTTCAACACAGCGCATACCTCTTGTTCGCAAGGTAATGCTGAAGCTTTATCTGGGAAATACTTCAGATTATTGGGAGGAAAATTGCCTGGGGGTTAAGGGAGGTGGATCTGATGGAATAAAAAGTTGCGAGCATTATCTGAATGTCCTGTACAGGCTAGGCGTGTTCTGAATACTAAAACGAACAGAAAAGAATTTGAGGGATCAGGCGTCCAATATCTGGGCCACTTCGGGCTATCCAACACCATCAAACTGATAGGTCATATTTCAGGAATCCTGTTCAAAGTGGCCTAAACCAAACTCGCTCACAGGTTCCACTTCATTGCGTGCACTTGTGCGTGCGTGCGTGCATGCATGTGTGCGTGCGTAGACGTTACGGAATGGGAAAGGACCTGAATACCTGATGCTTTAAATGAGTGAGTTTAGTTTTACGCCGCACTCTGCAATATCCAAGCTATATGGCGGCAGTCTGTAAATAATCGAGTCTGGACCAGACAATCAAGTGATCAACAGCATGAGCATCGATCTACGAAATTGGGATAAGAGGACATGTGTCAACCAAGTCGGCGAGCCTGACCACCCGATCCCGTTAGTCGCCTCTTACGACAAGCATTGGTTGCGGAAGATCAGTTCGAACCCGGATCTTCACGCTGCTCTTAGCAATATCCCAGCAGTATCAGGACAGGGGACACCAGAAATTGGCTTCACACTTGTACACACGTGCGAAATCGAACCCGGGCGTCGCCGTGACAAGCGAACACTTTAACCACTAGGCTACCCGCCAACCCTCTGAAGCGTGATGTGGCGATAGACTGCCTGCAGAGGCACTACTCGTGTTACTGTGAGAATCGAAGGAACGATCAAATATAGCTGCAGTTAATGTTCTTTACATTTCCAGTGAAATAATATCGATCACCTTCTAACAACAAATCATATACGTTTAGAAAAGCTTTACACATCTATAAATAATTGTGTTCAAGCAGCGTGCAAAAATCCATGATTTCCTATTTACAACGTGTAATGTGCATGGTTTGTTATTCTCCACGAACATTCTATGGCATTGATCCGTATAATTGTTTACTGTCGTAACTGTTTACTTTATTAATGATTAAATGTTGTATTGCTCGTCCGCCCCCGCGTATAGTTCTTAAAATTGATAACGCCACTCGTGGCATACACCTTGAAGTTATATCTTCATCAACCCCCACCCCCACATCTGACCTAGAGTATTCTTAAATAATCCATTTTTCAATGTCATAAATTCGCAAAAATTTAAGATAAACCAAATACGATTTTCCAAATTTTCTTCCTCAAAGAACTAACGCCCCTCCCACGCTTGACCGTAGAGTGTTGTAATAAGAAATGCAGCCCTTAGATCCCCCTTAGAACCGAAGTACAAGGTAGGACAAGGTGATTTTCCAAATGTTCTTCCCAAAACACCCCCGATGCCAAGTTCCTTTTGAATTCCCTTTATGACTTTACAGATTGTAGGGACATAGTTTATCACACCACTAGGCCTAAACACACCACACACAATTGCGATGTAAGCGTTATCATTCCTAAACGCTCCGTTTAATATCCTTCCTCCCTCCCACGCATACGAAATGTCCGAGGGAAGAATCCGTAATCCAATTAATAACGCTACACCTAAAAGAATCCAAACGCCAACAACCAAAAAGCAGTTTCCAGACCCATTCATACATAAAATTACATCAATTTCGGCAGGATCAATTGCTACCGAAACGATATGTTTGATTCCTGAACAACCTAATATGACTGCACATCAATCGAGATGATTACGGAAATCAGACGAGGTTGTGAACCAGCATGCTGCGCTGGTTTGTATTAAATTTACTTGAGATACCACGATAGCTTTTCGCTTTGATTTCCACGGGGACTCAGAAGAGAGGATGTAAGTCATCTGTAACTCGACTCGTTGCCTCACCCCCGCCGTGCCTGACCTGTGTGGGAGTGTATTGCCCCGGGGGAGGGTTAGACTTACGAGTCATCAATGGGGCTGGTCCCCAGGGGATCGGGGGAAACCATTGCCATAAACATGGCTTACATCTCGTCAAACACGCGCTAAGCTACGGTGAATGCTCCTGGCCTGTCCATTGCACAAGATCGCCCCACGTTGAAAATCACAATCCAACTTCCAAGGACTGCTTAATTCAATAAATACATCTGTAAAATGCTTTTTCTCTAGATGTAGTTTGCGACGCACAACCGACGCCGAATATGTCACGTTTAGAAATGAAGTAAGCGAATTATGGCACTTCCACTGAAGGTTTTAATTTTACTGATCTATGTGGATCTGAAAATATTATCTGGCAGCGCCAAAACGATAGTTTTTCACCTGTTTCAAGACATTCAGATATTTGCCGGAAGAAGTGGAACCCATTTCTCCAGACATCCAGCATGTCCATTGATATAATATAATTTTTTTAACAAAATTAAAGAAACAAACCGCGCCAGGTCCCTTACTCATTGTCAAATGGTCGGTCTCTTACGATAATCTGTCAACCAGACCCCATGTTCCCTTCTCATAGAAGTAGTAGGCTATTCGTAAATGCCATTATCATAATGTACAGTAGGCCATTATCCACCAGCATAATATTCATCAATACCGAGAATATGTCTTGGTGTATTTCTACACCAGAATGCGTGACTTAGTACATGCTTGGGCAGAGTTGTAAACGTAAGGCCACATAGAGAAAATGCTATGTTTCTCAAATCCGACTGATGTATATCTTCATTTACCGTTATCTTTCCTTTCTTTCACGTGATACCCAAACCAACAACCAATACTGTTGGTGATTTCGCACGTCAGAAATCTCTTTGTATAAATGTTTAAATTCTGTTAAATTGGGAGTCCAGATTGTATCGTTTGTGAAATCAATACTTACTATGTTTGTGTGATGAGAACCGTTAATTGCTGATCGTGGCCTAACTGACGATCGTGCCACGTCGTTATACGAATATATAGCGTACGGCACCGGTTGCGTGCCAATCTTGGCGCTGTGGTCGGAAAAAACTCGTTTACTGTCCGACATATCTCCGACTTGGCTTCCATTATTAGCGCACATTGATGGAAAAGTACTCCCCAGGTGGTATAAGAATGACAAATATTTGTCATGGGTTTTTTAATATCCTGATAGAGATCGTAAATAAACAGGGCATATTTGTGTAATATGTTAAAGAAACGCAAGTGTCTGTTTTTTCTATCCTCAGGAATTGTCTGCGTTTTCTGTTTCAGAGTTATTCGCTGGATCTATCAATTACCGCCGTCGTATGCAGGAAGCCATCTTGGTAAGGGAGACAACCGATGACGAAGACTTAACCTTCGAAACCGGAAGTGGCATGGAGCTTACCGGAATTTCCAACAGAGAAGACCTGCAAGCTGGAGTAGAGGGTGATTATAACGATTTACAATGCATGTTCACATGGTGAAACCACCTCCGTTGGCCTTTGGATTGAGCACCTACCGGAGAGCGAACAGTCAGAGTTTCTCCGCCCATGTTAAACTGTCATGGTATGTCAGTGGGCTAGAACTATATCCTGAGTGAATTGGAATCGAACCCTGGTTTTGGCGCGCTTTTAGCAATATTCCAGCAATATCACGGCGGAAACACCAGAAATGGGTTCCACACATTGTGTCCATGTGTAGGAATCGAACCCTGGTCTTCGGCGTGGCGAGCGGACGCTCTAACCATTAGGCTACCCCACAGCCCCAACTACATACTGAAATTTGTCGACTCCCATACTGGTACAATGCGTTAAACCCATTTCTGTGGTCCCCCGCTGGAATATTGCTAAAACTCACTCACTCACTCACTCACTCACTCACTCAGATCCCCATGATCCGTCACACGCAAACAATGTACATTATCTCACTCACTCACTCACTCACTCACTCAGTCAGATCCCCATGATCCGTCACACGCAAACAATGTACATTATATTTTGGCCGAAAATGATCTCCGGAGGACGGTCTTTTCACTCTGGTAATGAGTGGTCTCTAACGTTACGCTACCAAGGTCTCTCGCGCTGCTCCATTACTGTAACTCACGTGTCGGCTTCTCAATATACATTATGGCACAGGGATTCTTGTCCGTCAGTCGTGGGATGGAACGTTTGGGTAAACCCCGTTCATGAAGTTTCTATAACCTGTAAAACCAAACCAACACCTGCCGAGTCATGACTTTGTCGCGGATCACCACGTATCCCATTTACCTCGTATGTAGTATTACTTTGTTTAAACAGCTTTGTGTACCACCACGAACCTCTGCCCCTGAAGATGGGCGACACAAACGCTACAAGCCCTCTCGCAAGATCTATTATACACCCCCGTCATTAATTCCGTAAATTACACCCCTTCTTCTAATGCGTCGTTTTTCAAATCATAGAAAATGATGACTGTCTGATAGGCCTCGATGGTTTTGAAAAATACACGCCCTCTATCCTATTGACTCGGGAGCTGACGTTGCAGCTATATTATGACTTAATGCTATTTCAAGCCGGCTATATAAATCTCATGTAAGGCGCTCTTTGCTTGTAAATGGAAACTGGTATCTCTTATAACCACATGTATAGTCGCATGAGTTTTATACAGTGTTGTAGCGTGACGCCCTCGAGAACCGGGATGAAGTGGAACATCCTCAATCTGAGGAAACTGTTGCCGCCATAACTGTGATGTTAATATGGAAAGCTATTTCGAGATGATTTATGAATTAGTTTTTTTAACGCATCGTCGCGCTACTCGTTTGTGCCTGGGTCCGGTAATGTTATCTTTGTAAAAAATATATGCGTTGATTGTCCGAGGACGTATTATGTCCGTTCGGATATTAACTGTCGAAATATATGGTAGGATATAGAATATTGTCGTGTTTGATCAGAGAATACATGAATGTGTTGATCGAGAATATGTAGATCAGTATAGAAAAAAAAACCAAATCAGTATTTATCAGTTTCACAAATAAACACCCAGAGATGCGGTCTGTTAACAGATATTTAGCTATAAAATACAAATATTCCTCGCAGATATTTTGGGTAACAATTTCCGTTTGTTGGCCAAGTTGTAGCCATTGACAAGTAGCTGTTATTCATGACATGATTCAGTTATGTTCTCTTGTACAAACTGATTTATTGCAGGCTTCAAAGAACGCGTGTGGGTGGCGGTGGGGCTCAAGGTCCATAGGTCATGATGTTTTATATGTACACCCACATAGATAAAACACTTTTCAAAAATACGCTTTCATTGCAAAGAACGTGCTTCTGTAATCCAAATTTACAATTACGCATATCATTGTTCGGAAAGTTAAATGATACATATCCAATGGTAAATAGTGCTGAGCCTAACTATCATTGCCAGTGTTGGTGGAGTTAACTGCTAGTACCTTTTAAAGGTACATGTAAAATCACATCGGAAGTCCACACTTTTTCCAACGATGCTACGTCACCTTGACACCACTGGTGAAGAAGGTTGTTCTCGGTGGCGTCCTCCACAACAGAAGCGACGTCTTTATTACTTCCCATCCTCGATAATCTCCAGGGTATACGTTACGATCACTCTCCACTATACCCTGGATGCATCCACGGCTTGGCCCGATGATTTTATTTCCTCCGTTGGCTGGATTTCTATCCAATCAGGTGTCTACGCAACTGACTCTCGCTTCTTAAATTGTCTAACTGTTTAAACTTGGCAACACAACTGATGCAGAGGTACTCTGAAAGAGGTAGAAGGAGGTTTTTTTGAAAGTTTCAGATCTGTCAATTTGTCTGTATTGTTTCCCTTAAAAAATCTGAGTGGCATTGAGAACAAACCTTCGCGACTGTGACCGCTATCTTTGTTGACACTGGCAAGCTTGGTTGTAACGGCGGCTTTGCTGATTGGCTACTGTGAGAATGCGGAGCCAGCAAAGGGAGGTAATAGAATTATCGGGCCAAGCCGAGGATGCATCCAGGGTATAGTGGAGAGTGATCGTAGCGTATACCCTGGAGATTATCGAGGATGGTTACTTCCTCGATGTCTAACGGACAGTTCTTTGTTCAGGTGTGGGAAAAGTGAACATCTCTTGAATGCAGCTTGACTGACCGAGTTTTGTTTTACGCCGCTTTTGCAATATTCCAGCAATATCACGGCAGGGGACACCAGAAATGGGCTTCACTCATTGTACCCGTGGCTTGAATGCAGAGGATGTTGTATAAGTTCAACGCCACGGTCTTGTATTGAGGTCCACCGTTGCTATTCCCACACACTGGCCTGAGTAGATAAGCATAATGTGAGCCATTGAATGGTCTGGCCATTTGGGAGGTAGTCCAGGGGTAGTATTACTTTGGAATCTCAGAAAACGGAAGCCATTGTGTTGCTGGCTGATAGAGCAGACTTTGTCTTTTTCTCCGGGGGGAGAATATGTGTTTCATTTGCTTGGACTGTTGACTAGTTGATAGTTTTGATCCATATACATGTAGTTAAATACTACTTGAACAAAATCTCCAGGGTCTGTTTCAAAACGACATAGTCTCTCGAGAAATGATAAACCTGGATCGTTTCCGATCAGAAGTCTGAAGCATGACGAGGCCTTCAGTTCATTCATCGGGACTTTCGTAACTGTCATGAGAGATACCTTCTATGGGGCCTGGAAGTCTCGCGAGGCGCTTCTCCCGGTTCCCAGCTCCTTTGCGCGCGCCAACTTGCGATGTGCGAGACGGGCCCCAGCATACTTCCGGTACCAGATTTCCGGTGCCAAGCGTATATTCAAGAACCAGTTCTGGTTCCAAATTGCGCGGCCGCCAAATATGACTTGACAAGACCGGACCAAGTGTACGTTGTTTGTCACCGGGACTACTATTGTCTCGCGAAGTGCCACAAGTCCAAAGTACAGTCAAGCTTGGTGTATTTCGCCACCAGATTCCAGTTTCTCAAAGTGGCCGGTGATTCAGCAAGCCTGGGCCAGGTAAACCAGTTATTCAAAACAAGAAAAACGCTCTATGATATCCTTAAAAGCATACATACTTGGCAAATCTGTTTTATCACGAAAGCTTCACTGATCTATTGCTCCACCTGAAACCCCTGTTTCGCTGAAAGTTCGCATGAGTTCAACATCGCCCAAACAACCGGATTTCATGTTGAAAGTCAAAGTGAAAGTTTCTCTCAATTGATAAAGTAAACTTCCTTTCCTAACACAACGATGTCAATAACTCTGTTCACAGAGTGAGAAGCGCATATCATATCTAGTGTTTGGCGACAGGTATGTGCATATTACCGCGTGATTTGGGCCATGTGTAGGATATGATGGCACGCTGTTTCTCTCATATTTGTGCGAAAGGTTACCTCCCTTGAGTGGCGGTGTCAGCCGGATGAAAGGTCAGTGTTATGATGACCTTAACGCAAGGTGACCCGCTGTCAGATTCCTGTGTCAGGGACCCGACCGCTTCCCCCCTCTCTTACCCCACTGCCTCGCATAGAAATGTACACGGGGGAATTCCCATTTCCCTCCACCTGTCAATCACACCAGTCATGGCTGATCAAGGGTGAAGTTCATGCACGTAAATAAACCCGAGTTCTAATTCTGCTCGAATCTTCACACCACAGGCCGTTTGAAAAACTAGCAGCATTTCCTGATGATACCAGTCGCCGAGCTGTGTCGTGGATAATTTTAATTTTAAAAAAACAAACATGGTACAATGTGTGAACAGTTTGACTTTATATAATCGTCAATTCAAGCCAAAGGTTCAAATAGGGGTTTAGTTGCTTGTTGTTTAACGCCGAACGAAGCAATTTTCTAGTTATGTGACGGTCTGTCAATGTGGTCTGGACCTGACAATCGTGTGATCATGAGCATCGATCTTCGCATTTGGAATACGGTGACATGCATAAAAACATCAGCGACCCTTAACACCCGATTCCGTCAGACGCTTTTTACGACAAGTATATATACAGTATATGTAGAAGACCAGTCCTAATCCGGATCCGGGTGCCAAACTGAAGTAGGTGTACTGGCATCAAAGAAAGGTTTAACGAACTAAATACTCCAGTGACCCATAAATTGAGACATCAGTTGTGTAAATGTTAATGACTTTCAAGATCCCTCTTTACTGTTGAAAATGGTTCCTATTCCCCGGGCGTTGGGATAGCCTAGTGGTTAAAGCGTTCGCTCGTCACGCCGAAGACCCGGGTTCGATTCCCCACATGGGTACAATGTGTGAAGCTCATTTCTGGTGTCCCCCCGCCGTGATATTGCTGGAATATTGCTAAAAGTGGCGTAAAACCAAACTCACTCACTCACTCACTCCTATTCCCAGGGCGGTGGGGTAACCTAGTGGTTAAAGCGTTGGCTCGTCACGACGTGGGTTTGATTCCCCACATAGGTACAATGCGTGAAGCCCATTTCTGGTGTCCCCCGCCGTGATATTGCTGGAATACTGCTAAAAGCGGCGTAAAAGTAAACTCGGTCACTCCAATTCCCCCATGCGTTCAGTAGTGATGACCGTGTGTCAGTTTGCTCACTGTGTCATCTGGCCTTAACTGAGGACATCTCTGCTCATGGCACCAGTCATTGGTGTGTCTGGACAGGATGTCATTATCTATGACTAGCCATGGGATAGTCAAGAATGTGACATAATCATTCACTTCCATGAAGAGTCTTCGGTGAAAACAGACTTTAAATGTAGATCCTTTACATCTTAGGGCATCATATTTTTGTATGTGTTTAATGTAGCCACCAAATTCTGAACATGGCTCGGTCAGGGCGGGGGTGTCGGCAATAAACTTACAAGGGTCGGTCGGGCGATGAGAAACACAAAAAATAAATATGCTGCCCTTATACGTTGACGACAGATTAACCAGTCCTTTGGACGGAAGTGGGTGTTCGCGAAAAGTGAGTGAGTTCAGTTTTGCGTCGCTTTTAGCAATATCACGGCGGGGGACACCAGAAATGGGCTTCACACATAGTGCCCATGTGGAGAATCGAACCCGGGTCTTCGGCCTGACGAGCGAACGCTTTAACCACTAGGCTACCCTATCTCTGTTCGCAAACATGGTCAGATGTAGTACTTTAATGTCCCCGAGGATGTATCATTACGTAATCAACAACAGAATCACATGGAAGTTTATGGATGCATAATAGCAAATTGGGGCGGTAGGGTAGCTCAGTGGTTAAAGCGCTAGCTCGTCACGCCGAAGACGCATGTTCGATTCCCCACATGACAACAATGTGTGAAGCCCATTTCTGGTGATATTGCTGGAATATTGCTGAAAGCGGCGTAAATGTTATTTGTTGACGCCGAGATGTTGAGTGTGATACTAACTGGTGTAAAGGACAAGCGGAAAGTGTTTTAGTATTCGGCACATGCTGTCAGAATTCAGATGGTATAGTTCGAGACGTGGTCGAGTGTCTGTACTAATACTCTCAGGCAACTAATCAGTTTCCAACTTGAATAAGGATACCCATTTTACCAACCAGCTGCAGTTCCAAAGAGTTATGTCGAACTTCGAAATAAAGGTTTGATCCCTGCACATTTATTCTTAAATCATTTTGCCATCATTTCTGTCGAATCTCGGATAGCTCGAAGTGTTTACAAAGGCACCTTCTACCCTGACTAACTGCGTTCTGTAATTGAATACATTGGACTGTCAGACACGAGGCAAATGTGTGAGAACGCTTGGTCTGAGACTGCGAAGTTTTTAACTGTTCGTGTCAACTTCCCCTTAAAATATGGTACAGAAATCCATGGACATGAAGATAGTGCTCTGCAGCAGTAACGAACACTTGATGGAATAGACGTCAACTAAAATGACAGCTGTTGTCCCATTTCCGTAACCGTACTGTAAAAATATTTTCAAGAATCAGACACGAAGCACCACAACGAAAGAGTGGCAGCGTAATTCAGGTTGATGTTGTACTGCAGACCCTATCGTTAAATCGCACGCCCCAACGTAAGTGTTTTGCGGAGACAGAGGGGAGTAGCCTTATATTGCGACGCAGTTTAAGACTCTGCTAAAGTATAAGAGTTACTAAGTACATGGGTTATGCCAAAGGGTATATGTGATAGCTGTAAAGCTTTAGGGTCAATCGGGCATTAAGCCTGGACATTCAGGCACACTTGACTCTGGAACAGGAAGAATCCATTGAAGGTGGAGACCGCAGAGAGATAACGTCCTCTTAGACGTCGTCGACGTTGTCTGCTTCGTTTGAAACCAATCAGGTGCGAGCCCCGGAGCAAATGTGGAATGTTAAACAACTATTTTCAGAAGCAAATATTCTATAAGAAGCTTAGATAGATTAAGGAACACGCTCAGTAAGCTAACTTTATAACGTGGACCCGTGTTCAGGACGTGTTATTATGCCGTGAAATTCACCTTGCGTGGAAGTACATTATGAACGCGAACGGTGGAGTTATGAAATGCCCAATACCATCGACCGAGTCAGGGCTGGAGTTCGTTTCCTGTTTACTTGACATACCAGTTCCGTTAAATTTACTTTTATTGACGTTTTAGATTATCCTATCAAAATCTTCCGCCGAGCTGGCTTTTCGGGTTCGGTATGGCGCTCCGTGTACCAGTTTTGCCAAGATATGTGTGGTGCTTTGCCGAACGTGTCAGTATGGCTCTGTGAACTGTACAGAAAACGTGATATTATGTGTGTGAATATCAATGATAACGTTTTGCAGACATTTACTGGTCCACGTTTTATAGGGCTATTTTTGTCTTCCCTTGACCCACAGAAATTATTTTCAAAATATTTTGTTTATATATAAATACGTATGTATGTTTATACGTACCGAAAGTTTGTAATATATATTTGGTACACTAAACATTTCACGTGCCGAACGTTGATTTTGAAGCTATTCCGGTGCTCATTTACACACTTAAACACTCGTATACATTTCACTATTTGAATCCAAGGCTTCGTTGTAAACACAAGGGACGGTGGTTTAGGCGTTGGCCCGGCACGCCAAAGACCCGGGTTCGATTCTCCACATGGGCACAATGTGTGAAGCCCATTTCTAGTGTCCCCCGCCGTGATATTGTTGGAATATTGCTAAAATCGGCGTAAAACTAAACTAACTCACTCGTTTAAACACGTGTCTGATGGCCAGCTTTAGGGTCAAGACCAACGCGTCTCTCACTAAGTTTCAGTCTTACATCACTGCCGTCAGTATTGATCTCGGGGACACACGAGACCCCACAAGTGCCATATGTTGGGAATGTCATTATATGCTTAGCGTGTAATGGAATTTATGTCATTTATCTTCCAGAATTAGAACTAAACCCGATTTATCATAAAATAATATCAGCGCGACCAAATAAGAAATGTATGCTTTTCTCACGACCCTTGACCTGGCACACTTGTTAATATCACTGACATAAACGTAATATTGACATGCACATGTCGCTAGTTTCCGGTCACGTGACATCTAATCACATGTACCCCTGTTGTATCGGTTGTATCCCATGTGACTCAGTTCTCGTACTGCTGTCAATCGCTTTTCAATGCGCGTCTCCGGGTGGCCCCCGAGGACCAAAAACTTTATGACTGCTCTGTACTCAGTCTAAGTAAACTTAGGCTCAGTATTATTCGTTACACTGCCATACTGAGTCGAAGAAAACTTAGTAGAATGTCGCGTCAGCTAACCTTTGAGCGACCTATGACCGTCCAATCAAACGCGAGACGGCCGAACGGATTTAACCAATCAGACAACGACTACTTGTTAGGGTTCGGCGGGACTTACAAAACGGTTTTTGGATTTTCTCTTCCCTGGTCGCTGACACTATCACCAAACGAATATCCGCATAAAACACAGATATTTGACCTGCAGTATATACGCTTATGGGTTTCTAATGACATGGTTACTATTTGCTTATATTTTTGCAAGATGACATATTGACAAAAACGCTATTTTCAGCGACTGTTTACTCATTACGTGTGTCACTCGGAAGCGATCGTGCGGAAAATAGCATTCGGAATCGTTCGAGTTTTGGAGGTAAAGGTTCAAACGGTATATGTGCGAAAGTTAACTTTCGCGATTTGTTAAGCTGTGTTTTGATTGGTCAGTCCAAATGGTTAGCTGATGCGACCTTCTACAAGGTTTTGTTAGACTCAGTATAGCAGTGTAACGAATAATACTGAGCCTAAGTTTACTTAGACTGGCTCTGTACTCGAGCTTATCCATTTCTGCCGTTTCAATAGGGGTACATGTGAATAGATGTCACGTGACCGGAAACAAGCGACATGTGCATGCCAATATACGTTTATGGGAATGATATAATTTGTAAACCATTCTTCAATATCATACAGTCATTTTTATCATGCACATATCAGAAGTATTTTAGGCTAAAACCTTTTCAACTTTTTGATAGCCCGTCGTTGTGGACATGCCTGGACTTCGAAGTAGCCGGATTTGTTTACCTGCTGGATTTTCTATAGCACAGATACGGCGTTGCCTATTACATGACTCGTCGAATCCTACTGACTTGGTTCTGTGCTCACTCGTTCGACCACTTGTTCAGTTGCAACAAGTCTTATATACTTCGCTGAAAACGACTGATGTTAAACACTACCATATGAAATAAAACGTTAAGATCCTAACGACGCTCGTCACGACGAACGCTCGATTTGGATTCCTTTTTACAAGTACACGCTCTGATATTGCAAGAATATTGCTTAAGCGATGTGTAGCCGTACTTACTGGAATGCTTCATATGGACCAAAACTGATCCTTGTTTTAATGCTTTTACAATGCATTTCTGAGGCCTGCAAATGTTTTTAGCAGTTTGTCTCCCTGTATTTAAGATTCTTACCATAATTAGGACCTCAAAGAGTTGAAATTTTAAACATATTTCACTTGAATTCTAAACATGTTACTTTCTCAACATATTTGTTATCGCAAAATGTAAATATCCTATCAATTTTTTAATCTAAGGAGTTTGAAAAATGAATCGGTTGGATATTAATTATATATTGATACAATCACGTTTGATTAAAAAGTACCTGGCCCACCGTATGAGTGGGTTTACGCCGCTTTTAGCAATGTTCCAGCAATATCGTGGCGGGGGACACCAGAAATGGGCTTCACACGTTGTACCCATTTGGGGTATCGAACCCGGGTCTTCGGCGTGACGAGCGAACGCTTTAACCACTAGCCTACCCCACCGTCCCACTCGGTATTATATAAATAACGTGACTTTCTTTTCTTTTACAGATGTCGTGGAAGTCAAAGTCGACTGCTGTGATGTAGGCAGGATAGCGGCGCGGAATGGCATGCACTGCCACGCCAAGATCCACGCCGCCCTACTGGACCACACCAACCGCACACGTGACTACCATCGTCGTGTTCGTCTGCCCGTCCAACATCACCAACAGGTGTCGCTGCCGATGCGATCCTTCAACATGTGCATACATAACCGCGGCTTGGAGTTCTATAAATGTTGTCATGCTAGTAAGACCGACCCAAGGGGGAGAAGGACAAGCTATAGACCGTCCAGGCCTAGATATCGCCCCCCAAGACGGTACCAGTATGACAGACGACCGTATTCGAGAGGTTAACAACTCTCGGCAAGGGACCTTTCAGCATGAGAGATCCAGCTAGGGGCAGATTACTCTTCGTGCATCGCCAACAACCTGACAGGCATGGCCAGATTTCTCACTCGATCAGGGCGGGGATGTCCTCCATGTCCTCGCAAACGTGTTCTTCTGTCAGTGTTCCACAATGAGTGCACTTCCGGAACAGAAGGACAAGAATGTGCCGCCGTCTTTCCTTGGAGGAGTGACTTCTCCAGATTATTTGCTACAGACTCAGGGTGCGACCTCCATTAATTGACCCAAATGTGCTTTGGAGGTGGACGCTTTCGTGTTCTTGTGTTACCAAATGACAGGACATGAACAAGGTGTTGAGTGTGTTCTGGATGATTGAGAACGGTTTTTACTGGTATAGACCATTTGCTCTGGGAGTGAGCTAACCCAGCCCAGGGCGGTACGCTCACAGTCCCACTGTTGCATTCCTGCAATGTTATTAATCTGTAATACTACCATTTCTGCAAATCAGTTTTAGCGCTACGACAGACGTTCATCTACCTAAACTCTTTCCTCTTTGTGAAAAAGGTCGATGGGCCCTCTTGCACAAAGCAATCTTAGACTGTTCTGTGTTGAAGTATTGGTGATATGATAGTTTTGGCACTAAGATTGTTCGTGCAAGCGGGCCCAGCCTTAATCAGCTTCTACCATTCGGAACCTCCTCGTCACGGATGATGTTAGCGCTCTCCGAGTTTTGAGTTGTTTGAACATTGGGTTGCCTAGTAGCGGGTACTACTGATACTGACGATGAGCTCTCGCTCTAATCGAAGAATACTAATCTCTCCTCTTTCCCTTTCAGGTAATGTTTCTAAGTAAAGACAGATAATATAGGCAACGTAAAGCAACACAAATCCTGGAGAAGAAACATTTATTTGTCATCGTTACAAGTAACAAAAAACATCCGATTTGTCCAATGCCAGAAGCTAAATGTTCAATTTTCTGCAGATTCCGGAACAGATGGTACTTTAAAAAACTCCTTGTCTCTATAGGACAGGATAGACACAAATCGCTGGTAATCAATTCCTTATGAATAAATTATATGCATTTTCATTACGATGGCTTTCTGTATGAGACCAAATTTTCCCTTCCTCAAAGCCCGTACTGTAACGCTACAGACCCACATGAATGAAGATCCACAATCTAAATCTCGCATCTCTCTAGGGTTTCTTTATCAGTTTAAATGGAGTCATTTGTTTTTATCAAACTGATGTATTTTCAGAGGCGACGAATTAATCTTTGGCAGATCGTCAACTGACTGGTTCTAATGATCATTTCAACCTAATGGGTTCTTTTTCAACGCGAAACAAGCTACTGGCTCTTAAAGGGTCTCTTCAAATCCAAGAACACGTTTGATTATCTATCTATTCCATCTTGATTCAACTATATTTAAAACTGAACCGAGATCGATTGTTAAGATGCTGATTCGAATAGCCCGATACTAAATATAGCCGTCCAATGAAATTACCCCTACGAGCGAGAGACATTCTGTGCTTAGAGATGGGAGAGAAATAATTAGGTCCAAACGAAATAGAAGGGATATTTAAAACCCTGAAAATAGAGGATGGGCCAAGGACGTGATTTAACGTTGATTTATACCTCGCGTTTCCTTAATTCTTTGTAACATAAGTTTTGTCCTATACTGTTTACTAGTACATACAGGGGAAAAGCGTTTTAATTTATGACGAAACGTACAGGGTCCTTTGCTTGTGTCTTTTTTTACAATGCTAATCAATGCAAAATGACAATTATACTTTTCCCGGTGATATTCTTGTCTTTTTCTCTCCGACTGGATCCCTTCGTCGCCCCTTGCATCATTCCGGGGCAAACTGAATGGCCTGTGACGGAAAGGTGCGAGTGGTGACGATGAGATGTGTCGCTTCATCACCAAGGAGCACGGGTCGTTCTATACAGGTGATATGCATGAGCGAATGAGTGAGGCAGTGTGCTGAGGTCTCTGTGGCATTCGTGACCACTCGCGCAATTCCGGGATAAACGCTGGTCACGGAAAGTTGCGAGTGGTGACGAACGGTGTCGGTGGGTACAGGGTGTATATGTATGTTTGTGGGTTTACCGATAGTCGTGTCATTGACAAGGCAGCTTTATTTGAGAAGTATTCATTTTTATCATGATTGTTGCATGTTTTACCTTTAATGTGGCGTCTTTTGGTATTTGAATAAAGTATAGCTTTTGACATTAAGTGGGGACTTGTGCCCGTGAAAATGGCAGCCCCAGCAAGAACTACTGTGTTTGTGTGCTTGCTCAAATTGTATGATATGTATCGGTTGAAGATTAGTCAGAATATACAAAAACACCGTCACAATTTCACGGCACTAAATTCAACTCTATCACCGTGGCTGTAAATGGATACCATTTAAAGGAAGCCATCGACCGATTCCCAAAGGCTGGCAGATCTAAATTGACACCTGATCTAAATACATGCAATTTCCTTTCTCCATACAAAACCAGTGTGATTTCTACCAGTAGAACCTATGTATAGAAATACCCCGGAAAGCGAAACTAACACGATAATGTAACCATCGGTTTGGGAAACCATGCAAGCAGCATTTGGAATAAGAGCTCGATGCCTACCTTTAATATTGTATGACTTATCATTAACATAAAGCGCTGCTATCAAACTTATCTTTTACACATGTCTACAATTTCCACGATTTGTTATTATATGTTATTGTAATTGATATTTTTACTTGACTATTTTATTTACACTGCTCATTTTCACCCAGTGAATAATGCCACAAAGATAACGTGCTGTCCACACAGCTTGCTTTCACAGTACAATATTTAAATGTCATATCATGGCAGATTAACTATAGTGATATGAACGTGTTCCTTAACTTCTTTTGATGAGTATATGTAATAAACATGACGATGTTACCAGATTGTGACAGAAACAAATTCTTCACTAGATTGGATGAAATTGAAAAAACGGAAATTGAGGACGAATTATTTTTCATTTTGATGCGTTTTCACATTTCTGCTATTTTTAACGTTAATAATGTATTTAGCAGGTGAGTACTTTAAAACGCTTTACATCGGTTGGGGCACACGATTGTCATCGTTCTGATGAATTGTATTGATTTTATTATGTTTATATAACTGACGATGATTTACTTTTTGTTTAACAAAGAACCTACTAAGAGACTGGCCCACACTTAGTGCTAGTATACTGATGGTTTTGTTTGATCACGTTGTTTGAATTCAGAATGGGAAAAATGAATCCTCAACGGTGTGGTCGTATTTCAAGTTGTTTCTTGTCAGTAATCAGTGCTGCGACTTGTTTGACATATGTCATTGTATTTGAAAAATGAAATAAAAATAAACTAGCTCTACTGGAACAGTTTGGCTTTTCATGCTCAACCTAAAAGTGTATTGGAGCCGATGGAGGGGGGGCTTAGTGGCTCGCTCGTCACGCTGAAGGTCGGAGTTCGATTCATCACAGGGGTACCATTTGAACCCACTACTCGTGTCACCGCCGTGATGTTGTTCAACGTAACCTAAGACGTCATTCACTATTAACGTGTTGGGAAGCTTGAATTTCCATGGACACTTGTTAATTGAGATAGCTAGGCGACGTGACTGAGTTTTTTTTACGCTTCTGCTTCTGCAGTCGAACCTCCAAGTCTTCGGAGGGCAACGTTCCGACAAGTCATCCAGAGAAACAAATAACTAAACTGGAGTAATGTCATTTTGTATTCGCAGCATTAATCGTTCAGCTTAACGATGGTCTGCTGTATTTATAGAGAGCGTATTTGGGTATATTCCAGTTTTTCTCTGAACTAGTGAAAAAACAACTGGGTTTGTCGCCGCTTCTAGCGGCATTTCCAGGTATATTGCCACAATGTCCGATGGAAACCCAATGTGATTCAGGTCTCGGGTTCGATTCCCCACATGGGTACAATGTGTGAAGCCCATTTCTGGTGTCCCCGTCGTCATATTGCTGGAATATTGCTGAAAGTGGTGTAAAACTTCACTCACTCACATTACTCCACATTTACACGTAACTGTGAATTACGTCCCATGACCGTGCCAGGATGCCATGTGAGTGATTCGATCGATTATAATCCTACATCATATCTCAGTTGGATTGTATTCCACTTAACGCTTAAAGCGTCATAAATAATTTGAACACATCTCATCGAAAAAGATCTAGGATTTGTACCTCTGCATGGTTAATTGATGATGTTTTATAACGAGCCACAGTTCATTGGGGGCCGGTTGGGTAGCCTAGTGGTTAGAGCATTTGCTCGTCACGCCGAAGACCCGGGTTCGATTCCCCACATGGGTACAATGTATGAAGCCCATTTCTGGTGTCCCCCGCCGTGATATTGTTGAAATATTGCTAAAAGCGGCGTAAAACTTAACTCACTCACTCACAGTTCATTGGCAGGTAAATAGTAAACAACCTTGACTCAGAAAACATTGTATATAATAATCCATTTCACCCAAATACCGGCGTTAAAGATAATATGCCTCTACTGTGGAAAACATGTTTTACAAACGAATCTTGATGCCCTATTTACTGTTTACGCCCATCAGTATTAGATTGCGCATTAAGATGAAGACAGCGATGGTATTTATGTTCTATGGTATCAAGACATCAGTTGTAACACCTCAGGTTTTGTACAGGTTCCGCGTGGATCAGCGATATAGTGGTTCAGTCACATGGAAGCTATCACAAGCGTTCTCTTAATGGCACCTGGATTTTCTAAATGTGGGTCTAAAAATACTAAATGTGATGATTTGTCATGGTCATATACTTCAGCAGTACATGCAATTGATATATAACATGCTAGAAATAGTGGAGTAACATATTTATGACCAAGACATTCCTCAGCAAACGCTTGATATGATTCCGTTTCCGATAGCATTGGAAGACTTTACGTTTGGCATCTGAAGCTTTCCATAAGTCCATGTGTGGAATTTCAAGCGCGTCGTAAATGAATATCAGTTTTTGAAAAGCGTTATTTATCGCCAACACGGTTAGAAATAAATCATGCAAAATATTGAAATCTGGAGCAAACATCACTTCACGGGCAATTGTATATTCTTACGTCACCAGGGCGGCATTTTGAAGTCTTTCGAATCGGACAGAATGACGTCGCACTAGAAACGTCGTATCAGATAATTGTGGTCCTCTGAGACGGCCGTCGTGATCAGAGCTGGCTCAAAAGCACTATAAAATAATGGATATTAAAGAAATTACACTCGGCAATCATACTGATTTTACAAAACTCTGGAATTTATAACCCTCGCTCTCTTTAGGGAAATTCTGCCATATAGCTGGAATATTGCTGATTGCGGCGTAAAGCTAACTCACTCACTTACTTGAGGGAAATACTAGATACATTTCATAAAGCCAGCATGACACACATGTTCATATAATACCCTCTATTTATAATCCCTAGCCGCCACATCAGATATCGATTTGGTGAAATTGCACCACAATGCTTTTCACATAATTGTGAAGTCACGGTTTCCTGAAAATTCTTACTTCTCTGCCACTGAAGCTGTAGGCGTATTGTTTCAACTCAAGATACAGGTTATTTATGTTTACAATCAGAAAACGTTGGAAGAATGACTTTGGTTACAATACACTTTAAAAAAATAATTACGTTGATTTTCGGAAAATAATCCCTAAGCACCCGGTGTGTATTTTCTTTTGTACGTCAGTATATGTGCTGAATCATGGTGGTACCAGACCTGGTTGGGATTTGTCATCCTACCCTGAGGACATAATCTTCTTCATGCTATCAACCACTGGTTTATCTGGCACAGAGCTGAATTGCTACAGCCTGTTGAACTGCCGCTGCGAAATTGCACACTGTACCATAAAACAATAAGCACTCACTCGCCCAGTTGCCATACTGTCTCTGTTCCACGATCACGTAACTTCCATTCTTGGAGGGAAACATGTAAGTGTTGCAGCAGCGAAATTTCACACAATAACACAATAAGCACATTCTCGCCGAAGAGCCATCGTGACTGTTCTACGTTCACGTAACTTCACTTCGGGGAGAGAAACCTGTAAGTGCTGCAGTTGCGATAATTTACACTGCGCCATGAAACAACATTCACCCACTCGCCCAATAGCCACTGTGTCTGTTCTACGTTCACGCAACCCCGCTTCAGTGAGGAAAGCCTGTAAGTGGCAGACAACGTGCTGGATGCGGTGTAAATGCCATGAGCAATATCAGCAATGATACAGTATGTTGTTATTTACACAGGAGGTCGGGGATGTTCCATCTCTTTACAAACTGCCAAGACACTAGCCTTCAGCAGCCAAAAGTCCCGAAAGAAACAGGTACTGCTGAAACAAACCGCTGTAGCTCAAGCTTCTGCTGCTTCGCTTGGCAGTTGATGAAAGACAGACACTAAGATGCTAGGCTACGGTGCTTTAGATAAGTGTTCTTCTGTCGACGCTTCGAAGACTCTCGTCTTCAGCAGGTACACGTTCGGCTTTCTGTAGCGTCCCTTGCAGTGTTCCAAGATTACCATTCCGGCATTCGGGAACTCTCAAGCTGATATGGTGCCTTTGCCAAAAAGGACAGCTTTTGGTTGACTCTTCTTCACAGCACCACTGTTTCGTAATTACTTGATGGTTTTTCATGGTTGTGGTTTAAGTGATGTTTTTGGAGGCTGTATTTCCCGATGGATGCATCTTTGACATCAAGCTTATTTTGATACAGTTTGCCAAATCGCTATGAATAGTTACGGCTATGATAGAATTTGCTGGTAAGGGGTTCGAATCCCATATCATCCCTTTTGTGATTCGACCTGTCAGTTCTAAAATCCACTACCTTTCTTCTATCCTCTTTTAATCGTTTTCATACGCTAGTGGAGTTAAGAACTAATTTCCGAGCTTCGTACACCGGTGTTTTACCAATATTTAACTTTCACTTCCTGAGATAGGTATTTCAAGATATTAATTCGAAAATATGTGTTAGAGAGTCTAATATTTCGCTGGATTGGTTGACAACTGCACAAATTTCCTTCTCACTATATGAGGCATATTTTGAAATCATGTTCCTTATTGCAAAATCATAATTAACAATATTTCCATTTAAAGATTTCAAGCACAAATCGATAAGATAATATAGATTTCGCTAAATCTTGAGGGAGTTTAGTTTTACGCCGCTTTTAGCAATATTCCAGCAATATCTTCGGCGTCGTCGTCCATATTTATGTGCCATTAAAATAAAATATTTGATTTAAACAGTATTTTATTTCCCGAAAGACATGTAATATACATTAAATATTATTAACCACTAGGTTACATAAACTTACACTGAGCCACCATCCCAATCTCTCGAAATCGAAATCCGCGCAAATAAAACAACAAACATTTTGTATACTTCTAAATTTAAAGAACATACACCCTCCCATGTCCTACAGGCTATCTGAGTGAAATATATCATGTAATTTGTTTCCAGTGTGAACTGAATAATGTATGAAAAGTCCTATTTTTATTCACGTCTTATTTCAGCAGCATTCCTAGTACATGTAACTAGCATAAGATGTTGCAAGCTTTCGCCGTTAAACAGTATAGTACCTGCTTGCTGATTGGCCAGCACAACACATCTCTCAGTCTCGGGATGGTTGGACTTAGTAAATTAGCTGTGGAATAATTACTCTAACCTTGGCACACGGAGATAGATTTACCCTTCCCCTCCGGTGAAAGGTCTATCTTTGGTCTTCGCATGACAGTGCCTATTACCTACAGACACAGCCTTCCCTATACCACCGTTGCTTTCGCCCAGCCAGTGTCCCTCGTTTTAACTATTCACTTACCTATTTTTCCCACGACTGCTGACTTCCGGGGATGCCAAAGATTCCAGAGATTCCACAGCCAAAGGTAGCCAAGGTCGCACTCTAAGAAGAGGTGAAGCGACCCAGGAAGTCTCAGTGTGATAATCTCATTGTCAGAAGGCTTGGTGCCGTTATTTGTTAAGCCACGGGGTCTGCTACAGAACCTGAAGGTGACTCAACGTTTGAGTCATTCATCATGTACAGCACTTGTTAAGAGAAATAACGCTTGAATAAATGTGTGGTAAATATTTTCAAAAACGAATTCTTTCGAACTCAGACATCTCGTTAACTTCTTTATTTTTCTCTCTTTGTAATTGTTGTCTGGCTTTTTATTTGCAACAATACATTTAGGAGTCTGGAAGCTATGTTTTAGATTAATGTTGCCCAAATATTTTAATTCAGTAATCACTCTCTGTTTTCAAACGCACTCGGGAATACCTGTGAAATAGTTTTACTCTACACTACTATTCAAAAGAAAGGTGCCCTCGATCGCGACCGAAGCGCGAACCTGTCGCGTTGAAGAAGTGAT